AGACTAAATCTCTTATGTTGGCCATGCCCCTGGGAGGGGGACGCTCAGGCCCCTGATACCACTACTGATCAGCATGGGAGCTTGGACTCAAACTTTTTCTAATCTTTTTCTAATTAGAGTCAGTTTGTCCTCTGTGGGAAGGCTGGCGTCACCCCTACCCCCAACTCCCAGGGGCTCATCCCGATTCAGCGCCAGCTAGGGGGCCCAGTGAAGAGAGCATCAGGTCTGGAGCGTGGAAGAGCTGAGTTCAAATCCCGCCTCAGTCACTAACAAGCTGTGTGACCATGGGCAAGTCACTTTACTGTCCTCATCTGTAAAATGGGGATGATAATAACACCTCCCTCCCAGGGTTGTTGTGACAATCAAATGATATATTTATAAAGCACTTCACAAACCTATCCACTGTTATCACCTAGCTGGCTGTTAATTATAATAATTAATGTTAATAATTATTGTCATTATTTAAATAATAATAATAACCTCTCTGGAATTCAGATTCTTCATCTGTAAAATAGGGAGACTGGATCCAGCGACCTCTAGGTCTAGCAAATATTTCTATGGTGCTTTAAGGATCTCAACGCACTTTCCTTGAAATAACTCTACAATGGAAGAAAAGTACCAGGATCATCTCCCTCATCTCACAGATGTCAAAACGGAAGTTTAGACAAGGGAAGGGGCACAGCAGCATTAGAGCTGGGCCTTCTGACTTCATCCCCAGCGTTCTGCACATGAACCACTCTGGGGTTAAGTCAGGGACCATCCACCTCTTTTTACAGATGAAGCCCAGGGAGATGAATCAATTTGCCCAAACTCACAAAGTAAAAAAAGAAAAAAAGAGTAGCAAAGCCAAGATTTGAACCCAGATCTTCTGCCTTCAAATCCAATGCTCATTCTGCCACACCCCCTTTCTTCTCTCTGGGCCATTTCTGTATCAGCTGGTAGCTTGCCTCCTCACCCTGCTGTGGGATTCCTTCATGAGGCACTGCCCATTTGCCTCACCCCTACGGAAAGAGGTAGGGAACCCAAGTTCAGGCGGGGACTCCAGCTACTGTCCTAATTGCCCTCTCGCTGGGGACAGCTGGTGAGAAGGACCACCTCCCCATCCAGCCTCCCCAGCAGAGGGTTTAGAAGCCTCATGCCCTTGTCAATTACAGACTTGTTCTCTCAAAAGGGGAGTTTCCCAATCTGTAAAATGGATCATTCTACACATGGCTACCAGCTGCAGAGCAGGCACAAGCCTTCTTTAGAGATGTCTGGCCTTCTTACTCATAGCTGTAACCCTCTACCTCTCCCACCCCCACCAGACTATTTGCATCTCCTGGGATTTCCTGTTTCTCCCCCGCACTCTACATCACATCTCAGTTCTGGAGTCAGAGAATATTCGGGCTGGAAGAGCCTTCAGAAGGCGGGGAAGCCAGGAGGCTAAGGCCCAGGGAGGGGAGGAGTAGCAGATAGCAGGGCAGAGTGGGAAACTTCTAACTTCTTCCTGGTCCAGACATCCTGGCCTCATAGACTTGGAGCTGGGAGGGACCTCAGAAGGCATGCGGGCCAACCTCTTCATGTTACAGATGGGGAAACAGGCCCACAAAGGTCAAGGTCATGAAGCTGGCAAAGCATCACGGGTGCAATTGGATCCAGGTCTTGGGAGCCTGGAGCCAGAAACCTTTCTACTAAGCCCCAATGCCACAGACCCCCTTACCTGGGAGCCAACTGACTCTGGTCCTTCCTCAAGCTAGCTGTCTGCCCTTGGCAAGCCCATTTCCCTCTATTTGGAAAAATTTCCCTCTATATTGGGCCTCAATTTCCTCATATGTGACATAGGAATCACCATGCTTGCCCTGATTCTCTCCTGGGGCTGAGGTAAGGATGAAATGAGGTGACAAGCAAGGTGAAAGCTTCGAGATATGGGAAAAAAACAAACAAGGAATCCATGTTTGGTTGCACTAGCAAAATATTACTAAACATCACCATCTTTTCCATCTCATTCCCCATTCCCCACAGCCCCCAACAAGCTACCGTGAAGCTTTTCGCCAGTCACTCACAACTAAGGAACAGTCAAATGCATAAGGAAATTAACTTGTCTATATTTGCTGTCTGAAGTATGGGGTGGGGGTGGCAGGAGGGAAAGAAATGAGCAGCGGCTTCCATCAACATCGGCAGCTTCTAGACTCCTCGGGGGTGTGTGTGTGTGTGTGTGTGTGTGTGTGTGTGTGTGTGTGCGTGTGTGTGCGCACGCCCTCTCTGGGGTTAAGGCTTGGGGCTACGGTTTACAGTTTTATCGGTCCTTCCGCCCAAATAAGATCACTGGTAATGACAACTTCCTGAACTTCGGGGGGGGTTGGGAGGGGGTGTCTCTGGTCTTCAGGACTTGTACCCTGTTCTGCTCCGGGGTGTGTGTGTGTGTGGTGGGCGAGGGCACAGATGCAAGCACTGCCAACAGGGAATGAAGAGAAGGGGAGAGGAGACGATTCCCAGGGCTAAGGGAGGGCTGGGGGAGCTCGCGTGGGTCCATGCTACTCGAGGCCAGGTAGGTGAGTGCAGAAGGGAAGGGGTAGAGAGGCAAAAGACTGGTGCATGATTCAGGGAGAAGAGGGACCGGGCATCGATTCCTGGGTGCACGGGGGAAGAAGAGGGAAGGCGATTGATCTGCGGGCATATTGGGGAGAGGAAGGAGAGGTGAGAGATTCATGGGCATGCTAGCCGCTAGGACAGGTCATTGATCTGAGGATACCAGAGGGAGAGGGAGGAGATGGGAGGGGTGCAGAAAGACTTGGAGAGAGAGGAGTGATTTGTGGGCCCACCAGAGAAGGGGACAGAGAGGTGAGCCACTCCTGGGCCTGCGGAGAGGAGGGAGGAGGCAGAAATGGGAAGATCCACAGAGAGAGGGGAGCAACCTGAGGGCACGAGGGGAGGGGAGCAGAGAGGTGAGCACTTAGTGGGTACAAGGGGCAGAAGAGGGAAGCATCCTGTGGCTACCTGGCCGCTATGTGGGCACGTGGGGGAGGGAGGGAGCGAGGGAGAAGGGAGGAACCCGAAGGTACGTGGAGGGAGACAAGCCCATTTGAGGGAACAGACAAGGGCCATTTGTCCGTGTAAGGGTGAGAGGAGCAAGGAATGATTAGTGGGTAAATGAGAGAGGGGACAGACAAGGGGGGGGATTTGTGGGAACATGAGAAGGGGAGGGAGAGGTGAGGGATTCATGAGTCCACCAAGGGAAGAGACAGAGAGGGGGACAATCTCCCCACGGCTCCGAGAGCCACCACTCCCTTGACACACGTCATCTCATGAGCAGACCACCGGCCTCCCTTTGCACGGTCAGGCCCAGAGACATTCAAGGGGCAGCCCCAGGTAAGGAAAGGGGTGCCCCCATGCCACAGCCCCAGGCAAGAAGAAAGGTATCTTGGGGGAGGGTGTCCGTGACCCGTGCCACAGCCCCAAGCAAGACGAGGGGTGTCTAGGATGAGGGTGCCCCCACACTACAGCCCCAGGCAAGAGGAGGGGTGTCTAGGATGAGGGTGTCCCCACACTACAGCCCCAGGCAAGAGGAGGGGTGTGTAGGGTGAGGGTGCCCCCGCCCCACTCCGTTCCCCCTGGTCTCAAACGAGGGTATCCGCCAGAACCGGAGAGAGTGAATCCAGAGTCCCAGATCGGGGCTCAGATTCAGTTCCATGCAGTTTGGAAATTTGGGGATGAAAAAAATAAAAGAGCCTAACAGAATAATTTAGCGCAGCAATGAAAGCTTAATTCATAAAAGAAAACATTTTCCATCCATCAACCTGTAACCAGTTAAGGGCAGTGTTTGAAAGAAATCTGCGACTGAGAAATCAGGCCAGCAGGAACAGGAAACGTCTAAAAGAATGTAAACTATTCCAGTTTCATAAAAAGCACGAATAAACAGTTATTACATGCAAATAATGCCCTGGTTTTAATTAATGCTGAAAAGTCAAAATATGTTTGACGTTTGGATGTATACATTTGAATAGTTAAAGAGGAAAAATGCAGCCCAGATGCCCGTTAAACGCAAGATTGGCCCTTTCTAAAGAACGAAAGCCTTCCCCGTCCTTGTTTATTGGTGATGAAATGCACAATTCTGTTTACTGAGCATCAAAACCCTCACAGTTTATACAGAATCAGGGAGGGGATGGCAAGGGACACCATTGGGTTTCTTTACAGAGACGGCTGGCTGGCAGGCAGACCCGGCCCCTTGAGGGACTGGATGGAGGGAGGGCATTTGCCCCGCTAATAATCTGCTACCATCCCCACGGAGTCCCTCGCCTCCCGCCGTCATCTGTTATCCTGCCTTGAAGTCATCTCGTGAGGCCCCGGGCCCCTGCTTTCTGCTCTCCCCTACCCAGAGCCGAGGGGATGACTTAAGTCCTGGGTAGGTTTCAGATCTAAACCGCCTGTCACCCACACTGAGTCTGGGTCGACACAGCCTGCCCGCAGAGGCTTCCTCACCACCTCAGAGGCCCAAGGCTTTTCATCTCCTCGGGCTGGGCCAGGCTGGGCTGGGCCGAGCCCAGACACATCATCGTCCAGAGGCAGTCCCTGTCCCTGGAACGTCTGTCTCTGGGGGCCCTCTCCAATCTGTCACTTGTCCCTGGGTGCCTCATCTGCCGGTATCCCCCTTGCCCACCCATTCTGATGGGAAAGCAAAGTGGCTAGGCTTGGAGTCAGAGGACGTGGAATTGAATGTCGTCTAAGATTCACTACCTGGGTGACTGTGGACAAATCACTGAACCTTTCTTCCATGCCTTGGTTTTCTCAAGTATAAACTAGGATACTGGATGAGATGACCCCTAAGGTCCTTCCTGGTTGGACAGCCTGTGGGTGTCTCACCCTGCATCTTCCTCCCTGGTTCTCCCAACCTCACAGATCATCAAGGCTGCTTCCTTTTGGCGACCCTCTATGTCGTGCTTCTCTTTCACTCCACCTGGCCGCCATGTGTGGTATCACTTCCCCACCCCCCACTCTAGCCAGGATAAACCCCGATTCCTCACCTCGGCCACTCCGGCCAACGAATCGAAGGTCGTTAAATCGGGCCACCTGGTTCTTCATGACGGCCGAAGCATTACGCAGTTCAGCCGAGTAATTCTCGTCATTGCCGGCCATCACCGTCACCACCGTGCCATCGGGGACATCCCCCAGGGCCACCACCTAGGGAAAGGTAGTGAGGCAGGGGAAAAGAGGAGTTTAGGTCAAACTGGAGAGGAGCCCTTAGGGGAAGGAGAGGGTCGGCCCTCAGAGTTCCCACCCGATAATGGAAGCATCTTACGGGGGAAAAATCCCTGGACTGGCAGTCAAGGGCTCAGCCCCGTATTTACTGTTGGAGGTTAAGGTTAACTGCCAGGGGCCTCGGTTTCATCATCTGTAAAATAAGGGAATTGGGTGAGATGGTGTCTCAGGCCCCTTCGAGCTAAAACGAGGGTACTGGACTAGGCAGTTTTTAAGGTCTCTTTCTAGTATCAATATTCTCTATTTTAAGGTCCCTTTCCAGCTCTAACATTCTCCGACCTCCACTTCGTGACCTTGGGCAAGTCTCCATCTTACTGTCTTCATCTATAAAATGAAGGGGCTGAACCAGACAATCTCTGAGGTCTCTCTCTATTATCTATCCTCAGGTCCCTTGCAGCTGAGACATTCTATGAAACTACCCAAGGGGCCTGATGAAGATTTAAAAAAAAAAAAAAGATTTAAAACCCCAAACCAAATCCTGTTCTACCCTTCATACTCTTAACCAAACCCCATTCTCCCCTGTTCATCCCCTTATCTCCCCCCACAACCATACACACAACAACAAACAAACAAAAAATGGAGAAACAAAACAAAGGATGGGGGAGGGGGCCAAAAACCCAATAAATGAGATCAATCAAGGGCCGAGTTATTTTCACTCTACTAAGCCTCAGTTTCCTCACTGGTCCAAAAAAAAAAAAATGTGTGTGTGTATATGTGTGTGTGTGTGTGTGGGGGAATAATACCTACACTGATCAACCTCACAAGGTTGTCGAAAGAAAGCATTTTTCTCAGTTGCAGTATTGTATCTGTTGGTCTGTCTATCTATCTATATGAGAGCCAACCTGCAGCTGGGACCTTATTTAGCTCAGCTTGGCTAGTGAAGAATTAGGACACTGTCCACATTTCTAGACAAAAAACAGGGCGGAAATAAAGATAAAAAAAAATACAGCCGATAACAAAGAAACTCAATAGGTAATTTTTAAAATGTCCTCTTTAACACCGTTAAGGCGAAAGAGCAAATGCCGGGTAGGTTCATTCTGTGACCCCAGAACTCCAGCCACAGTGACTGCAGAAAGCCTAGGTTTAGGCTGCCAAGTGCCTGGATGATCACTTTTTTTTCTGGTTTTGTTTTGTTTTTTAGAGGGAGGGGGCGGATCATGGGAGGGTAGAGTCTTTCCTAATCGAGGACCTTCAAAATTAAGTTTTTAAGAGTAGGGAAACCTGGGGGTCTTCTCAGACAAGGATGCACCTGTCAGTCTAACTCAGAAACAGAGGAGAATGCCATTCACCGTAGCACACCAGACACGAACGACCCAGACGCTGAGTGCCTTATGGCTGCGGAGATGTGCCCATTCTGAAAACTGAGGAGTTTGCTGCTGGGGTGGGAACCTGGGCACCAGTCGCGTTAACGTGACTGCCGCATTCAGAGACTGGGAATCCAGATGGAAAAAATTTCAAGGAGAAAATTTTTGGGGGTATGATTAAAAAGGCCAGATTTCCTGTCAGCATCCTGTCTTCTTTTAATTTCAAAAGATTCCTTTCAAGCCCTGAATGACAGTGCAACCCATGATCGGGCGATTCAAGTCCCAGTGGCCTTCTTTTCCTCCCCTCCCCCACGAAGTGCCACTCCCTCCCCCTCTGACCCCCCGGCATTGTGCAGGATTTTCAAATGTCACCCCGAGAAAGAGGCACAGTCCCTCTTTTTCCCCAACGTGGGATTCCTTAACGGGGCAAGGCCCTACTGGGTCAGGAATCCACCCAGGTGGGGCAGCCCCCCGCCGCAGCTTTTGTCCCCCCCCCCCCCCCCGGCCCATCCTCACGACATGTGTGTGATCTAGCTTCACGCCGATTTTTTAGGGGAAAACCGGCTGCTTTCATTTCATCGCTGCCTCTTTTTAAAAAATTAAAAATAAAGAAGAAAACGAAACAGTTCCTGCCTCCCAGTTGCAGAGAAAGATGTCTCCAGATGACAGCGGAAGGGGGGTTCCCACGTCTCGGCTGGGGGTTTGCAGGGATTAAAAAAAATCCAGGGATTCAGCTTGGGGCGTGGAAGGGGGTACACCCCAGCCGGGAGGACCAGTGAAGGGCTCCGCCAAGGGCCCTATATTTGCAGTCGGAAGACCTGCGTATGAATTCTCGTCTTTGCTACTTTGCGGCCTGTGACCTTGGGGGAGTCACCTTAACCTCTGTGGCCCTCAGTTTCCTCTATAAAATGGGTGATGGTGGGGAGAAGGGAGAACTGACCTAGAGAACCTCCGAGATCCCTTGCAGCCAATACTACCTAAATCTCTTAAAACCCGGCTGCCGCAACTTCCTCTACCCCCAAACAACAACGAAACCGATCCTGCGAAATCACCAGCGGCTCCCCAAAGGTGGGGAGTCGGGTCAGGTCAGCCGCCCAAGGGGGCGGGGCCGCTCGGCCCGGCGGGAGCCGTCGGGGCAGCGGGCCCCCCTCCCGTGGCCTGCCCTGCGAGGTCGGGGGGCGTGAGGCACTCACCTTGAAGGCCACGGGCAGCGTCTTGTTGCAGCGCCAGTGCGAGGGGAGCACGGAGCACAGGAAGTTGGGGCTGTCGGTGCGGACCAGCTCGCCCGCGTGGTCGGCCAGCACGTCCACCACGGTGCGCACCTCAGGCCGGGCGCGCCCGCCGGGCCTGGCCGCGGCCGCCTGCGCGCTCAGCGCCCCGCTGTTCTCGCCCATCTTGCCGCAGGGGAAGGCAGTGGAGGGAGGTGTGAAGCGCCGGCTGGTGCTCGGGTCTACGGGAATACGCATAACAGCGGGAGTCAGGGCGCCGCGGCCGGCGGCGGGGCAGCGGCGGGGGACTGCGCGGCAGGAGGCGCGCGCCCCCGAGGCTCACGCGGGCTCCTCCGGGGGCCGCTCTGGACAGAGGGAGGGGAGAGGCGCCGAAAAGGAGAAGCGGGCACGGCCGCGGCGGCTCAGGGCTGGCTGCGAGCCGGGGGCGCTCAGGAAATGCGCCCGGGGCGGGTGCGCGCCGCCTAAGGGGAAGCCCCGAAGGGGGACCCGCCGCCTGCTCCCAACGCGCTCGGGGGGTCTCGGGGGCGGGCACCGGGGGCCACCGAGTCGTCCCCAGCCCACGGGGAGCGGACCGAAGGGGTGGCCAAGCTCGCCTCGAGGGCGCGGTCCGTCCGGAGCTTCCGAAGGGCCTCCCCTGGGGCCTGCAGCACTGGCCCGGTGCTCGCGCCCTTCTCGGCCCCTTCCCTGACCCCACCCGGGCTCCTAGGGCAGCATGAGTGCGTCCCCTTCGGCAGGTTTCCCCCCACCCCCGAGTCGGGGCGGCGGCGGTGGCGATGAATCCCGACGGCGGTAGGCTGAGTCCCGGGGCCGCTCCCCCACCGGGTCCCGCCGGCCGGAGTTCTCCGAGCCGCCAGCAGCGTCCCCTCCCCCGCGCTCCCCGCTTCCCACAGACGTTTCGCCGACTCTGACACCAGCTAAAAAAATATATAATCAAGCGGCGGCGCCGCAGCCTCCCGGGGAGGGTAGTTACCCGGGGGCCCGCCGAGGGGCGGGGTCGGCCAGGAGCGACGGCCCGAACGACCAATCCGTGTCTCCTGCTGGGGAAAGGCATTACTTAAAAAAAAAAATTAAGAAAAGAAACCCAGCGCGGAGGGGGCGTGGCCTGTCCTAGGCAAACCCCTCCCCCGCCCCGGAGGGTGTTGGAGCGCAGAGTCGGGGAGCTAAGGCTCCTCGGGGGTGAGACGAGGGGGGAGGGGGCTGTTGGCCCTATTTATTTATTTATTTGTTTTCTAAACGACCCAGTTAAAACTCGAGCTTCCGAAGTCGGGGGAGGTTGCTTCGCTTCGCTAATCCTCCTTTCCTCCCTCTCTCCCCCGCCTTCGCTTCAGCTCCCCTGCCCGGTGGGCGCCGCCGTCTGGGCCCCGGCCCAGTCTCCTTCGTGCCTTCCCTAGGAGCTCAGGCCTGGAGCGAAATTTGCCTCTGCAACCAGGCTAGGCTTCCTAGAGCCCCCAGGATCCGACGCTTGTGTGTTGGGGGAAGTTAAGTGGCCGCAATTAGCGGTTGGGGCTTGAAGCTTCCGCCCGCCTTGCCCGACGCCCCAACCTACTCTATTTCCCCCCTATGTCATCCCTCCTTCCAAACTCCTCCACGCTCTAACCTCTCCCCTTCCTCTTCTCGACGCCCCGACCTGCCCGCCCTTACCTCACCTCCCATCTTCCCTATGCCCCCAAGAAATCCGAAAACCGGTGGCAGGGATTGTAGCAGCCAGACAGGGGCGGGGCGCGGAGCAAACGAAATTTCAACAAGTCGCTGTTTTAAGGCTTGCTTTTTCTCTGGAAGCCGGCAGCCGGGGCAGAAAAGGAGATTTGGGAGCTCGTCGGCTCTGCTGGGGGTTCTTAAGGCCGGGGCCCTGGGCGCCTGCCCCAGTTCTTTCCAGGGCACATCGTGGTGATCTGGAAAGCCCTTCCATGGAAGAAAAAAGGAGACGGGCTTTCCAAGGCCACCCGTTTTGTGACCTTGGGTTGGGGCTTCGCTTCCTGGCACGGGTTCCCGTCCTCCTTGTGCCCTAGGAGGACCCGCGGGCCCCAAACTCGAGACAGCGTTCGCGGGGCCCCTGGCCAGACAGAGCCTGAAGGGTTGGCTAGGTTAACGCCCTCCGGTGCGCCAGGGCGCTGTAGACGAGCCCTCTAAATCACTCAAGACACCTGGCAGGGACACCGCCCTTCCCTTCGTTAGCCAGGAATAACAAGACTTTGGGTTGGGGGCCAGAATGACCCAGGTCTTTGCTTCATCTCTTCGCTAATCTTTCGTAGGCACGTTCTTGGAAAACAATCTGTCCGTGGAGAGAAGCGGACCAGTTTGGTGAGGGGACGTGCGTGCCAAGAGTCACCAGCCTTTAGTAAAGGGAGGTTTTTTTTTTTTTTTTTTTCCCCTGGTTGAAAGGGGAGTTTCCTCTCTCCAAACGCTTTTAGGAGCTAGGGGAGTAAGGGGAATCTCTACGAGGCGGCCCCACCTGAGCGCCGATGCCCGCGGTAGGCCGCCCATACCCATTTGTCCGGAGCAACCCGCCTTACTAAGGCTGGTGTGAACGCCGCCAGCGGGCTCCAAGTCTTCTGTCTTCTTCCTGGACTCGGGCCGCGCGGGGAATGGAGGAAGTTAACCGGGAGGCCAAGTTATCAGCTATGCATTCCCGCCTGCCAGGGCTTTCGGAGAGAGTGGTCTCCGTGGCCCTCTGTTCTCAGACCCCCGGAGACTAGGCTCCTGTTTTCGACCCCTCCCCAGGCTCAGGGTAGATCTTTGCGAACGCCTCTGAATTACGCCCGGTTGCAGTGAATTGCAGGGAGATGGGGAAAAGTAGCCTTAGCCCGCAAAGGATCAAACCAGTCACTGCTCATAGAGGCCCGGGAAACAGCCCAGGATTTAGAGGCAGCGCATCTGGTTCAGAATCCTGGCTCTGCTGTTTGCTAACCTGGGTAACCTTGGGCGAGTTACTTGTACTTTCTGAACATCGTTTTCCCCACCCGTAAAAGGATAGAGGTGACTAACTAGCTGCTCTTTAAGGTAGGATCGAATGTTATTTAGTTTCTTCTCCACCTCCTGCGCCGGAGGTGGCTCAGAGGTCAGAACCTAACCCCGAGCCTGCATCCCAGCTGGTCGCAGCAAGCCGGGATCCCAGGTGGCTTGCAAAGTCCAGGAGACCAGCTGGGCATTGACGGAAGCAGCTCGGACTCCCGATGGATTAGGAAGGAGGTGAAGACCATCTCGGTATCAGTGCATTTTTGAAGACAGGTTTTCCTCCTCTCCTTCCCACCTGCTCGCCCCAGCGCCACGGGCCTAGGTACATAGACCCTAAAATTGCAGGAAGGGCGTTGGGGGTGAGAGTGGGAGCAAAGTCCGGCGAGTGCTTGGACAGTGTAAGGACCCCTTCCAAAATGAATTAGGGCCTTGGTGGGCGTTGTCCCTAGCAAACCCTGCGTGGTGCACAAACCTTTGAATCTGAAACAAGCCGGGTCGCAACCCTTCTCCGAGCCTCGATTTCCTCCTCTGTAAAATCATAGAATTTCAGAGTTTGAAAGAACTTGTCTATTCCAGCTTGAACCTCAGCGGAAGAACATCACGAACAAGAGATTAATTCCTCCGCCTCCACTAAAAACCTGAAGCTACCTCTCTCACGGGGCAGCCCCCTTCCAATTCTGGATAGATCTAATGGTTAGAGAGGTCTTCCTTAATCTGCCCTCACGGCCACCTCTTCGCCCACCTCTATTTCTAGTTCTGTCTTGTGAGGCCCCCAAAGAATCGTTCCGGCACTGGGTGTCCCTTCTTTCAACCCCTAGGGGAAAAAGTCATCGTCTTCCTTTTTAATAGTGCTTAGGCTTCCTGTCCCCTGTTCTTTCTGCATTTCCTCAGATGCCACGGCTTTAGCACAGTGCCTGGCATGTAGTAAAAGCTTAATAAATGCTTATTTCTTCTTTCCTTCCTTCCTCATCTGACGACAGGAAGACGAGTTCAAATCCTGGTTTAGGCTACCGATTTGCTGGGTAATACTAGGTATCATTTAACCAGCCAGCTTCGGTTTCCTCATCTGTAAATTCCTCATCTGATAATAGCACTTGCCTCTCAGGGTTTTTGTGAGGATAAAATGAGATAATATTTGTGCAAAGCACTATATAAATGCTAGTTATCATTATCATAATTATTATCATCTGGGTCACCCTCCTCTGGTTGCTCTCCAGGTTGTCAACGTCCTAAAGTGGCCCTCCCAGGACTGGCCACAAACTCCCACCAGGACTGGCCACTGAGCAAGGCTGAAGCCTGACATGGTTAGACTTGCCACTTCGCCCTGCCCAGTTGGCCTAACAGTCTCGCCCAGCTCCGGGATCCCCGGATCCCGCGTATACTACAACGAGAACTGGAGAATTGGGGAACTGGGAAGAGTCTGGGTAGCTAATTGTGATCCGCCCCTGCGGACACGCCTTCCGATGGCTTAATGGTCACGTGACAGATCAACGCTTAACCTATAGAAGAGTCACAGCTCCAAATTGCTTTCACACCTGTATACTGCGACCAGTTGCTCTGGGAAGCAGGAGGCCGAGCTCATGTTGTTATTCCCATGTTTAAAAGGTGGGAACTGAGCTCCACCCCCCAGGGAAATGGATTGCTCAAGGTCACGCAGCGAATTGGTGCGGCTTTGGTTTCCCCTGATTCCCAGTGCAGATCTCTTCTCTCTAGGCTTGCAGGCGTGCACAGAGGCCCCTCATCCCCAGCAATTTCCCCGAGGAGATCCCAGTTTCAATTTGGTAGAAAAAACACTGTGCGGGGAGAATGGGCCGGGTGGACGACAACCGGGCCGCTTTTCCCCTTTTAGTATTTTCTTCATTTCTCTCTGTTACTTCTCCTCCCGCCTCCCCAGGCTCCAGCCGCAGCTCCTCCACGCATCCCCACGACCTGCAGGCCTCAGTTCGACCTAGCTCACGTTTCTGGAATGCCTTTTAATGTGCATAGACGCTTCTTCCCAACAACCCGCGAGAGTTAAGACGCCAAGAGATTCCTAACCCCATTTTGCACACTAAGCAACTGAGGCTCAGAGAGATCGAGGAACTTCTAGGCAGAAAGTTTCGGGTTTGGAACACGTGTCTACACCAACTGTCCTGCCTCCATCGGTAGTCATTCGGCTGGCTTCTGCAGATATGCGGGGAAGTTACAAAACCCATATCTCCAGGTCGGGCCAAAAACGGAGTGGGGAGGTGGGTTGCAGGGGGAAGGAACAGAACGTACAGGCTAC